TTTTTGTAATGCTCAGTTGACTTACGACATGAAACCTCGAGCACTGCTCTGCTAAACATTTCATCAAGTGTTTCAAATTCAATATTATCGCCTAAGAGTTGCGTTTCAAATTTGTGCACCAGCTGATTTCCTACGGTGTTGAAAGTGTCGATAAAGTTCAGTAAGACCTTAGAACCGAAAGCAGGATCCAGCTGCCTGCGACGAGATTTCCAAGCGGCCCCTAAATTGTAAACAAAATTAAATATATGACAAATGTAAAGTAATAATAATGTATAAATGGGGAGACCATGTAAAGGTATCCAATAGATATCATAATGAAGATATAGTATATTATGAAATACCATTATTAAATATTAAAGATGAATGTGTTCTCATATTACCCCTAGCATGTAAAAGTCCACGTTTCAAGCAGAAACCATCTTGGAAAAACGATTTGTCAATGCATTCGGGAGCATTGAAGAACTGTTCCATGGTTGTGGGGTCATCGACATAGATAACACTTTTATTGCCAAAGACAATGCCAAGTGGCCTTTGAAAGTAAGGACGTATGTGAGACACGACTTGTAGGAGTTCTAAAAAATATTAAATAGCATGTTAAAATACAAACAAAACTTTTCGAGCAGATGAGTTTTGGTGTTCAAACTTATTTTAAATTAAGTATTCGATTTCATTATTTTTGATGGACATTGTAATGTGAAATAATCTAGTTGGAAAATATAGGTGACATAAGATAGCTAGGCTTGAACCGATTTAACCACATTCAAACAGTAATATAGAGAACTGAGAGATCGAGTTTTCGCCGAAGTCGTCCGCAGTGAGTACCAATTTTCAAGAAAGACTTCACTAGACTTTTAATTATCTGAATTCACCTATTTTCAAATGTATCAAGAAATACCACTTCGACAAACTTTTTTTTTACAAACTTTGGTTGGTGCAGCTTTAGCAGCTTATAGCATATATTTGATTTTGGACCCCGCCCTAATTTGTATTCATTTTTTTAAGTATTAAACATTTAGTAGATTTCTTAATTCAAAATAATAAAAAATTGGACGAAAGCTCTCGCTTACTCGAATACATAGCCTGTCTTTAATATCCCGGGATTAGACAAACCTAGTAATATTCCAACTCACAACATTATTGTAAAGTTTAATACTGTTGATGCTATACACACTCAGGGGGGCCATTCTGTAAATCGATTCGAAAAAAAATTTACTCGAATTCGGATTTTTTATATTCTGTAACTCGATTTTCGGATTTTCAAGCAAACTTTCGAATAAAATATTCGTTAGCTTTTGAGTTGTATGTAGAAAGCAAAAACGAAAATTGTACGTATTTATTCTGGCAAAGGGTGGTACAACTTTCGCATAATTATAAAGTAGATCCGCATTTCGAATAGAATACATTTACGAATGGAGATACATAATAGAGCCCCTGAATTATATATTTTTTTTTTATCCCCGTCCGATAAAACATACTTTTTCAACGCTTTTTCCAATCGAAATAGAACTTTTCAGAATCTCCTTAAGGACCTTATTCGATTCAGTTTCTATCCCCTCATCGTGTCCAAAAGACGTCGGCGCATTGGGCTTTTGCTCAATAGCCAAAAATCGCATGGAGCCAAATTAGTCAACGATGGTTGCGTTTCGCGTTTTTGACGAAAAAAAAGTCGCAAGGACCATTGATGTATTTGAGCGATTTTCGCATCTAACAGCCAGGTCTATATTGATCAACCGACGATTTTCAAGCACCAAAACTTTGACGTAGCCCTCCACAATTGACTGGCGTCCAGAGCGAAGTCTAAGTGTAGTCGTATAAACGATTTGTGACATAATTTGATTATCAAAGGTCGTACACAACGTTTCGAAGGGGTCTGCTTACTAATACTCTTTCCACAAAAAACAAAACGCGATTATAGTCGAGTTAACAACAGCGCGCCCAAGCTGTTTGGTTTGAGATCCGCCACGTAGAAACCACTCCCAATGAAAAAGAAACAGCAGGCTCGGAAGCAAGTTGTATTGAACCTTTTTGCAAACAGATGCTTGGCAAAAAAATAAATTAAATCGCAAATCGTCGTGAATTTACGCATATGAGCCCGAAAGTAAACATTTCATAAGGGTGTTTCAAGATAAGTCCAATCCAACAAAAACTGTCGCCGCACGATGCATACCACTAGACAGCGCAGTGAATAATTCTCAAAAAACATCAACTTTTTTCGACACCTAATGCGTTCAGAAGGCATGATTTGTAGATACTTCAATCAGAGTGGTAAAATTGCTTCGATAATTGGTTCAAACGCATGTAAAAGTGTATCCCTCTTAATAGATGGGTATTTTGAAAAACAATAAGCGGTTTTCCATTAATACTTTTTTTTTTTTTTTTTTTTCTTTAACCCCGAAATATAAAAGACAACCCTCGTATATTTATGTTTGCTTGTGAACTTAACTCTTTGGCTCCAGATAAAAGATGAGAATGAACCACAAGTATGGCTGCTGCAGCAAGCCACGCCAACCATTGAGGCGCCACACCAGCAACCAGGCATTTCGTTGCCACCAAACAACCGTACAGATCAGCAACAACAAAACCAATAGCGTCACTTGCAACATCACACACGGTTCGTTGGCTGAGTAAGGAATTACGGTCAAAGTTTGTTTTGATTTCGCCTAATTAGCTGCACTTTGTAGGCAAACAATGCCGTCGCCTTTAATCACCTCCTGCCCGTTTACGGACACCTTAACAACGCATGTGCGCGCGTGCTTAAATTTTTATTGCTTTATTGCTCAACCGTATGTTTCGCAGAAGCTGCTTTTAACTGAATATTTGCACTTGAAGACACAACAAATTGAGGAAGGCTTTGATCGCGAGTCAGCCAAGGTGTTGCCGAATAGAAAATATCACACTAACTGAAAGGCCATATCGCTTTCGCACCGTTTTTATACGCGCCTGGGCTGTCGCTGGGTATAAAATGGCAAAAATAGCGAATATGCTTAGAAGTTCATGCATTTGTTTGTTTGTATTGTAAATGCCGCCCAGAAGGCATTCTAATATTTTGCTCCTACATTTAGTGAGACAATGTTTTGGAATTTTGGTTGAACGCTTTTGGTGTTTATACTCTAATTTAGGAGAAAGCAAATAATATTATTATGTTTGCAGGGTTTGTCCGGAAAGTAATAGGACTGATTTGCTTCCGCCGCTACTGGTGCAAGTCATCGTCTTCTCGCCCAAAAAAGGGAAGAATGAACAATTCCAAAGTGAAAACGATGCATATTGTCTTTTTTTGACATTAAAGGCATAGTCCATCACGAATTTGTTCCTCCTAGACAAACCGGGTCCGACCAGACATCGCAGCCGATTGGAAGCGTAGTGCAACGCCCCAGCTCTCACCGCCATTCTTGTAAACAGCTACCTAACCAAGGCCGGCATTTCAACGCTCCGCAGCCGCCCTACTGCCACTCCGGGCTTTTTTGTTTCCTTGCTTGAAGAGACCGATGAGCAACATGCACCTCGGCTCTCAAGGCTCTTCCAGAGAATGCCTTCAGTGACGCCTTCAACGCTTGGAAATCGCCCTGCCAGTGCTGTATTGAGGCAGAAGAAGCCAATTTTTAAAGTTTTTAAAGAATTGTAACGATTTGTTCAATAATTTTTTTAAATCGAGTCAGTTCTATTAATCCTGATAAACCCTTTTGTCAACAAAAACAAAGCGTAGAAAACCCGAAAGAACGACTTTGAAGATTCAACTTCAAAACAGTATAAACGAATGTAAGTTTGTGTATTCCGCAGAATAACGATATATTTCAGTTGTATTGGTCTATCGTGAAGCCTATTGGAACAATGCGATGGCTCCGACGATTATCGAGTCTACAGAACTGGATTGGACGCATATGTTTATGCTGCTAAGGTCTATAACTCGGCAGCATCATAAATTACATGAAAAATGCTTTCTACAATTAAAACAACCTACGATTTTTTTTATACGTGTTGGGGTTTAGATTTAACCTTTTAGCGCAGACGCAGCAAGAAATTCCTCCGGACCCGGGTTGGACTCAATACCATCATGAGTCAGGATGATACGGAGCAACACTGCTGCAACGGTTTGCTCCACTATTGACAAACTTAATCTAAAACTTACCGATCCAAACGAGGTTAAATCTACGAAAAAACAGCGCTTGGCCAGATGAAATCCTGGTCAATTCCGATAATGTAGAAACGATTGTCTTGAGATGAAGAACAGCGCTTTCTTTCAAAGAATAGCATATCACTGATAAAAATATATTTCTAGGACAGTTTAATAACGAAGTGGCTGTGAATGTATGACAACACTTTTTCTAAAAAATTTTAATTTCAAAAGTATAACTTTCTTTATAACATCTCTGCACGCGTTGCTATTACAATACCAATTTATAAATGATATCTGGAGGGCTGTAGAATAAATTTAGATTTTTTTTATTTTTCCCATCCGTTGAAATTACGAGCTTAAGAAACATATTTATTTATTAATTTGCAGGCAAAATTCAAAAAATATTAATCATTCTAAAAAGGAAATGTCAAACGGGGCTCAGCGGAGGCCCCGTCGTATACGTAACATTCATAAAACGCCAGAAACCGCACTCAAACTCCCATGAACCAAAGCATAAAAGGCACAGTAAATAAACATTTTATTCTAGCAATTCATAGCAATTTCAAACATTTGACGGTAGTTCACTGGTTTGTTCATATGTATGCACGCCTTTAGGAATGTTTACACTCATAACCATAAAAAAGTAGAAACACAAAACTTTTCGCTGGTTAAGAGGGACTACCCAATAGTAATAATAAATGCGGTTGCTGTGGCTTCTCGCGTTTGCATGTCAGAAAGAATCACGAACATTGTCGAATTCAGCAGACATACTTACATACATGGGTTCACTCACACAATAAGTTAAAAGAAGAGTAGTGAGGTAGGTCCATGCAATAAATTTAAAAAATTTGCTGTGTGTTTATTTATTTTTAGTTTAAATTAAGTTTCAAACGATAAAACGTGGTCCATTAAAGGGCGGTCGCTCCGTCACGCGCTCACTGACTACACGCTCGCCATGTATTGTCATATTTGTGCGAATTTTCGGTGCACAAATGAAGTTGAGTTCCTTCACACTCTCCCCCACAGCTGCCGGCAGCCAACCATACACTTCCCCAGAGAGACGCGGCAATATGCCCCGAGCACGCCTTCTGCCATACTGCCTAACGAACTTCGTGAACTTTTCCTCATCCAAAGTGTTTCGATCGTGTCTCGCATAGAACTTCGTTGCCAGCGGTTCGACTGCAAAAGCACGAGAATTTCAAATTAACCAAATAAGCAAGGGTTTGTGCCTAAGTGAGTATATATGACGCACTTATTGTGCATGGCACAAACGTGTAATGTCCGCAAAAGTGGCGATTTTGATTTTCTATAAGCTCCTTTTCGAAATTGTACGGTAATTCGACTTTGCGCGGCGCCTCGTTCGCTTCACCGTCGCCATTTTTAGTCTCAATAGGTGGAGTTGTGGGAACACTCATGCTGCTAAACAACAAATATCAACGAAGCAAAGCTCGTCCTCGATGCGTGGTGCTTTCCCGCGAGTTCGCCAACAAACTGACTGGCGAAATTTTCAGTTTTCCCCGTTATGTGTGTCCCATATATTATTCGCGAACTTTTCGCATGCCACAAAATAAAATGAAATTGACTTTGTTTCATGAAGAGAGTTTGTGGGGTAGAGAAGGTGGAGGGAAAGAGCATTTGTATGCACGAAAGAATTGTAAATTAAATGTCGTTAATGGTTTGTTGGAATGTTGAATGCGTGCATGCTCATGACAGTACAAAGTTTTTGTAAGTTATGAAATGAAATTAAAAATGTATAGACTTCTCCATCGGAACCCTAAACAATTTGTATCAATAAAAACTTTTGATAGTTTTATATGAGATCTTTGATCTGATCAATACTAGAATAGAATATCATCTAGTAGAGATTTGTATATCCTGAAAAAGTCGAAGACTACGAAATATATGTATATATAAATGATAAGCATGGCGAGCTGAGCCGATTTCATCTGTCTGTCCCACTGTCTGTATATACGTGAACTAGTCCATCAGTTTCTGAGATATCGGCCTGATTTTGCACACGTTCTTTTCTTCCAAAGAAACTGCTCATTGCTTGGAACCACCAATATCGGACCACTCTGGCATATACTATGACCATACAAACTGAAATTAACACTTTTTCTTTTTTTTTTTCAAGTTTCATCTACATGGAAGGCCGAAATCGCTGTGGCAGACTTTTCTTTTAAGCACCGTCAGAGATCGACGTGGTAACACGTACGCTAATGGTTACAAGATAATAATGTCGTGCAATGGAATCGATGGCATGTGCTCAAACGTGGATGGCTATCTCGCCGACCTTTCTCGCTGCACGGAAACTAACACTCTCCCCCACTAAACCCACAGCTACCGTATTCACTAACTGGACGAAGGAGTACATATTTGACCTTAATATTGCATCCGATAGCATTAAGATTCCGACTGTCAGTAAACCTAAGATTTTAGGTGTGACATTCGACGCCCTGTGCCCCTTCAATCCTCACAAGACCGCGATTATTACCAAAGTACAGAGCCGCAAAAAAATCCTCAAGTCGCTAGAAGACAGCACATGGATAAAAGCCAAAGAATCGTTGTTGCCAACATGCAAGGTATTCGGCCGGCCGGTCCTTAACTACACCGCACCAATATGGTCGCCTGCATGCAATGAAACAAACACAAGGAAGCTTCAGACATGTCAGAGCACTGCACTACGAAGTCTGCCTCTTGATGTCTGCCATCGAACACTTACACAGTAAGGCCCGTATGATCTCAGAAACCATCCATGTAGTCTCCTGCTCGAAGCAGAACCACCTCCTAGGAGTATTAATAGTCCTTCCTCAACTACGTCGACGATATAAGACAATACGCCGACCAGACTTCGAAGGTAACTAACTTCAGACATGCACTGACCGTCATTCACAGTGCTGCCATTAACACCTTCACCGACCCCCTCTCAGTGAATGGCGTACTTGGAGTCAAGCCGCCACCCAATGCAGACGAAAAGCTCCAGTTGCCGCGAGAATGAAGAGCGACCTTTTCGCCGTTTCGTTCGAAATACTCTAGAAGGTTAAACTCCTACTTATGCTGAAACGACCCTGACATATCAAGCATATGGCCAGGGTATGACGGGTCCTTGCATAACACTAACCACCTCTTTGCATGCCCTGCTAACCCTGCTCACACCCCTCTCGCTGGTCCGACCTTGGAAACAGCACGTTTCCTGGGCCTACTGTTGGATGTCCTCGATGATAACACATGTAATCCTTACCATCCTAACAGGAATTAGGTACCCGTAGCATCATTCCCACGACAGTCGGGTCTAGGTAACCGGACTTCATTTCAATGTCGAAGTCACCTGGTATGGTTAAATCCAAGGCACATTTTAGCCGGAAGAAGAAAATAACTCAAGCACAAAAAACATTTTTCATCCATATTCGATTTTAAATTTTAAAATACTATTTCTTTATTTATTAATCCCTGTTCACAATTGTGCATGCAACTAACAATGTAGATAACGGTACATTATTAGCCACAAACATACATACATTCGTACAAGAGAGAAGTTCTTTTGTGATTGTCCTTAAATTACTCACAATGAAATTGAAGCTTATAATAACGGTAAAAAATTCTAAATACCAAAAACCGATTTAAGACCAAATCAAAGAAAAAAATTACATATTTTGTCAAAATTTTAACACAGTTTTGCGCCACAATGCGAGCACTTGTTTAGAATTTCAATATTTGAAACCACTTTATTGGAAAAATTATTTTAAACCTGATTTAATAAAAAAAAAGTAAATACAAATAATTACTTTTAAGCCCATAACTACAATATTACACATTGAGGAGCGAGCACCACAATGAATCTTAAAGCAAGCGTTGCATTTAGGTGTTGCAGAACCTTCATAGAGATTAGCTTAAATTTCGTTGCAAGCCTTCAGGCTATATAACTACTATAATACAAAATTCATCGTTAAGCTGACAACAAAACTGGCACCCCAGCAGTGTTATGGATAGTGTTCGCGGTAGGCGAACTTATCCACAAAATTTGGGCTGTCGCAGGTGAAAACTTCAAAGCCGCGCCGCGTTTTCGCCTTTGCCGTTGCATTTAGTCTTTTCAGTTTTGGGTAGTTTTGCAGCGAGGTACGCACCTTCTCGTGCAGCAGCGCCTCGTTGAATTGGTGGCGCTGGTTGGTGGTTTTACGCAAAATCGTGTGCACCAACTGCGACCATACAGATTCGCCGCCGCCGCTGTTCTCTTCACTTTGCTTAGCAACTTTGTTTGGTTCCTTTGTTGCGCCAGGATTTTGGCCCTCCTTGGGCGGTTTAGCTGTAGAGCTCGCTTCATCAGTGAGAACGGCCTTTGGCTTCTGGGTAAGACCATCTTCGGTCATTAGAGCTTGTAAGCGGTCAAAGGTTTCCATTATACGCTTCTTGAACTCGACTATTCTGCGCACGTGTGCAAAGAGTGGTTGTGGTGCGTAGCTTGGCTTGGTATCGTCTTCTTCGAATAACGCGAGTATCTCGGTTACATTCAGCAAAGGCGTGAAGGTGCGTTTCTTATCGGCGGTGCCATTAATCAGTATTTTCAGTAGGAACTCTTGCATAGCAGTCGTATTGACCAGTGCTTGTTGATAGTCGGAATGCAGTAGGGTCATTTGCCGTAGCATTACTTGCAACGAAGCATTTTCGCTATCATCCGTTATTTCTAGTTCATCAGTGGCGCTGTGATTCAGCGCAGTGAGCACGCGATCAAGCAGCTCAAAATCGGTATCACGGAAGGCGAGTATATCCAGTCGTGCGATTAAATCGATGTTTGCTAAATATTGTTGTTGTAGGTCGTAGAGTTCCCACAGTGTGCGCGTTCGACTCTCATACTCTTTTTGCACCACTGCGCCTAAAACAGCCGTTATATTCTTGTGCAACAGCTGCAGTCCCGATATAAATCGTGCGTCCAGTGTAAAGTTCCGCATAAAGCCGTGCACATAGTGCAGCGCTAGTTCGGGATGTAAGAAATCTTCGCGACTCATGTCAAAGAATTCGTTCAAATCTGTGACAGTCAAATGATTGACTGATACAGGTTGATCTTCTTCAACAACTTCAGCCGTGCCGACGGGCTCTTGTTTTACTTTACGTGCATTCTTGATACGCTCGAAGTTCTCTACCAGCCTCTCACCAGCAGGGTTATCAAATTCATCGAACACATCTATATCCACCGGTGCGGTGGATACAGTCTTCGTTTTGCCTTCTGTAGTGGGTGTGTTAGTGAGTTCCCCACAACTGAATGCCTCATTAATCTCTCGCTCCGCTACTATTCGCTCACGCTCAATTTTTAGCATATTTGCATCACTAAATATACGATGATCTAGATTGTCGAAAATGTCATCGCGTATGTCATGGCAGCAGTACAAAGCAGACATGTCGATGGGATGAGCTTCTGTGTTAAATATGTAAGAACCTGCATTTACAGTACAGTCTCCATATGGAGTTTGCAGGCGATCACCCACAGCACCGTCGTTGTGAAGAAAATTATCCTCATCGAAAAGAAGATAGAGGTATTTTGTGGTTTCTGCGAGGTAGAAAGATTCCATTCTATTCTCTTTCTCGTGTGTAACGACATTTCGAATCTATATTTTAAGTCAAATAATGCATTCATTTATAACACATTTTACTCGATATATGTATATGAAGCATGCTCACCGTGGCGTATCCACAACGTGTTTTTGCGCTGAACTCAATTGTCTGTATTATGTCGTCACCCAGTTCCAAAAGAAATTGATTTTTCGTTGCACGATATAAATACATCACTGATTCAATCAATTCTGGTCTCAGAGGATAAACCTCTCTATTTGGCGAAGCCTCTCCCAATGGTATGTTATAGAATTCCGGTAAAAATCCGTATTTTCGCCACACTGTGCTATATTTTACCAATGTGCGCATGGCTGGTCCTATATCGCCAAACATGCTTAGGATGCCTGGCCAGAAAGCTTCAAGTGATTGAAAAACAGGTAAAGTAATTTGGCCTTTATTCATATTGGCCCAAACATACCAGTCTTCTTTTTTGAGATACTTGTCTATGTGCTCTCGTGCTTCGTTAAACATTTCCATCAACTCGGGTCTATTAAGCATAATGGAACCCTTTACTAAGTACTCAAAGAATGAGTCTACCCCTGCACCTATTCCTGAGTCGAGTGCTGTCCATCGTCCAGTTTGCACGTCAATGTGGTTGCCAAAAAGTCCGATCGCTGAGCGTCGTTCCCACAATGAGTGGATTGCATTGAGCGCGACATCTTCATAAATTGAATTGCCTGTAAGTCGGCTGAGTGCTCCGAATTCAATTAGAAATGTACCTACACCAGCTGTACATGTAACTGAAGTCTCCCCTTTCGGCACGCCGTAACGCAAATTCACAGTGCCGTATGGCATGCCGGTAGCAGTATCGAATGCGGGCAACAGTCGACGCGCCACGTCCTCTGCCATTCGTAGTAATGGACCTTGGCAAGGCCAACCTTCTTCCAAGGGCACACCAGCACGTTTGGATAATATATGCGCTGAAAGCAATCCACCCACAATTCGTATGTTTGTTTCAAAAACTGAAACATTTATGTCTTTGTCAAAATCTACAGTTTCTAGAATTTTAACAACTCTTCGGAACTCTGAATAATTGCCCATTGTTGCGAGAGTATCCAATGCATCGATAAGTGTTAGTGAGTAGCTCCCCCAAGTGTCAATGCCGTCGCAAGTTAACGGTCGTAGCTCATCGTAGTCAGAAGCATATTGTAAATAACCATCATAAGCATGTTGAAACATTCCACGTACCTTTTCTCTAAGAGAAAAAATTATTATTTTAATATGTATATTTAATGCATATCTTAATCTTTAGAAACAACCTTAGCTCCAATATGCGCTCCTTTGAATAAAACCTAACAGCTTGAGTCTCTAGAGTGCCATGTGTGATGATAAAATATACAAATATTACTCCCATCTTCCAGTAACATATTTTCTTATACATCTTATGAATTTTTTTTAATTATCTACACTAATCTAATTAATTTTTTGTAAATAAAGAAAATTGCCACACCGCAAAACCGCAAATTTGACAACTTAGATGTAAACAACCGGAACATCTGATAGCCATTCGGGTGTGTTCACTGGACGACGAACAGGGTTAGTTTATTTGCTACTAGAAATTACATATTCTTTAACTCTTTTGCAATATTTTTAATATTTTATTGGGAAAATAGTTTATTAAGACACGTTCACATAAAATAACTAAATACATACACATATATATAAATTTACAATTATGTTATTTACATGCATAATCATGATATATACTGTACCGAATTTGTATTTAAATGCAAATCTGTGTGTACGCATTGAACGCACCCAAATGAAAAATAGAAATGTCAATGATGGCGATTAATTCTTTTTCAAACTATGAAATTCAGTAAAATAATAAGATAATTCGTATTTGTTTAAAGTTTCGTGCAAAGCAACAAGTTTAAGATAAATAGTTAGAGATCAATTCCGAACAAAAGGTAAGTGAGTCCATTTTTATTTTGAAAACTTGTTTAACGCCTTCTTAAGATAGATGTTATAAAAGCATGGGGAACGTTTGGATATTCGAATTACCATCATAGAGATAAGGAAAATCTTTAATTTTAAGGATTTGTAAGGACGTTCAGAAAAATATGTTTAAAAAAAAGTAATAATCGCTATGCCTTTAAATATTGTGGAGCATTGTTCAGTTGGAACAGTCTCCGGACTGAACGGACAGTCGTACGTGAAGAAACTATATCAATGGTTCATACATTTGACTTCAATATAAACACAATGCGGTGGTATATTTAGATTAAAACCAGTCGCTTGGTACATCTGCGTAACATGGAATTGATTCTTCGTTTTATTGGAACTACTAACTATTTCGATTTATGTATAACACCCATATACTTTGTCTTGATATAATGCACTCAGTATTGGCTTTAGTTTTTATAAGAGCCGCACATGAGTACAACTATATTTTTCGTGAATATTTGCTGCATTCTGCACGATACGAATCTGAACGTTCCAAACACAGTCGCGCTTATGCACAAATATCGGACTCATATTTCTAAAGTTTGACGACAGTCACTTCAGCATTATATCATTTTGTTGTTACCAATATAACATCCTAGTCAATCTACCACTCTCTTAATCTGCAAATTTGCAATTGAGCCATTGTTAGCTCATCTCATTGATATATTTATCAGTATTAAAGGAATATTCTCACAAACTATTTGTATTAGCTAATGATCACAGCAAACTCAGAACCAGCTTTTACTTTCATCCCATTAACATCATTTAAAAAAAATAGAAATAGAAAAACGAACTTAAGGGGTCGGTTTCCAAAAGAAAGCAGCAGAGGTATAATGCTATTGTACCTATGATATTTTTACGTTGTTTAAACCAATTCTTGTATTATCCCCAAATGCCCACTTTTTATACGATGAGGATACATCGAATCTATGTGTGTTGCATCTGTATTGAATTATATTTTGGCAATTAATTGTCAATGTATTTACTTCAGATTTTTATATATAATGTATAGTTGTGTGATACGTATAATATATATACATATATACATATATATATATCGTCACCTGAAATGCAAAATAACGAATCTTCAAACATTCGAAATTGAGTGTCTTATTGATTACGTTTCACTACACATATTACCTATGTTCAACATTTTCAGCTTCTGCGGTCAGATATAAACCACTTTTAACCAATATTAAAATTTTGTTTCACTCATGTTCCATTTTATTTCTTGTTTCATTCATGCCACTGTAAATTTCTGAAAATGTTGTTATGTTATTTTGCATTTCAGGTGAATATATATATATAACATCCTAGTCAATCCAGACATTTAAGTTTTAAGTTCTCTGATTGATGTTTGTTCACTGGCACAGTCCACTGCGTCCTTTTACATACATATGTACTTATATATTGTGGGTGTTTTAACTACTTATATATGTGTGAAGACATATTTTATTGAGGACTTTTTCTAACTGAAAATACGAGTTTGAATTACTTAAATTGAAAATGCTTTATAATATATATTTTTTTTTTATTTTATTTTGTAAAAGCTTACATAATAATACAATTATTATACAAACTTAAGAAAATACGCAGCACTAGCATCATGGGCTATCGGCCGACTTTATAATATAAAAACTTTATTTAGCAGATACGTTACTAGCCTATTAAACAAAGCTTGTCCACTTACGTTATAAGTAAAACGTAACAATTTATGCTTTGCTTTAATATTCGTTGTCAGTTTTGACATTTTGCTCAGAAGTCAATCGATAATTTTTCTGCTCGGTCGATATTTTCATTTCTTTCTCGAGTCAAGAGACAATAAAAAAGTGATAGAAAAGGAATTTTTCGGAATATTTTGCAAAAATTATTAGTTTAATAGCGTGAGGTCGTGATAATAAAGAACGTAAATGAGTGTATTAAGCAATAAAGGAAGTTGAGGAGTGCATGAAAGCAAACAAACGTTGAACGTGGAGAAGGAGGAGCGGAGCATACTGCGCGACATTGAAGTTCCATAACTGCTGCAACTGGCGCTGTCGCTGCGCTGCTGTTTGTGTGTCTAGACGAGGAGGAGCGACGAGGGAGCACAAGGAAGAGGGTGATAGACATTGGGAGACACGCACAGCCGCGGAGGCGACGAAAGGAGGCATAGTAGTAGAAGCGGACAATTGCGATGTTAGCACAAGAAATTAATTTACTTTGGGAGTGTGCAACCATTACGATCAAACACATTTCGCCACATACCCGTAAATTTGTGTGTTCACTGCATACATACATTAGGTAAACTAGTGTACAATGGGGAAAACATCTGGCAATGAAGAGAGCTGAAAGATGGTTTCAACTCCAGTCGCCACTGCCGCGTTTACTTGCTCCCGCGGCAAGTTTAATTAATGTAACTCGTGCTTTCGCATATGTTTAATGCATGACGTTCGTTAATATATTCGTTTAAGGCTAGTAATTTAGTGTTATTCAATTAAATAAACAGATTATCTAAAATGGCTCAGCGTCAGTACGTTTAAAACAAAAATTGCAAGGTGCCATCATTTCTGCATAAAATTAAATAGTTTTAACAACTTACTTGCACTAAAGATTCTGAAATAATTTGAAAGTGGAACGTTGCACATTTGCGCTTTAGCGAACGATATGCAACATGTTTTTAACCTTCATAAGTGGCAAATTACTAAATGCTTCCTAAAAATATGATATATCCTTTTGAAATGAAAAATTTGTTAACATTCAAGCCATTTTTTTACCGTTTAGTTTTCAAATACGAACGCAGTTTACGTTTTCAACTGTATATTCTATGCTTGACATTGCAGGAATCCAACGAGCTACTGGCATTAGTTTGCCTACTCTGCAGTTATGTAACTCATAAATTATTAGCGAAAAACTGTTTGTATATCTTTTTCAAAATATAAGCCCCGTAGGAAGCTTTCTATACATTTGTTACTTCTATTAAAGAATATATTACTGTTCTGTTATATATTTCTATTTCTAAATCATAACTGTTATCTTATCATTTTTTATGTTCCAAAGTAATCACTCATTAATTATGTTTTATTAACAGTATTTGGTTAGGCTTGAATATGTCAATCAATCTTATTTTTCCCCGACCTTCTCCAATTACTCTATATTAATATAGATTTATTGTAAAGTGAAAGTTTTCCTTACCATCCATTCGCTTCAAACGAATATAGCTAATGATCATACCAATGACCAATAGCTTACACATGGCAGATGATAATACCTTTCGTGCACGTAAAAGAACCCGGGTTACTGGGTTATGTATGTTTACCCTTTTTATCGGCATTTGCTTATTAATTGCGAATGTGTACGGTGGCAGCTTTGGAGTTCTTATCACTTATCAGCATAACTTGAAACCCAGCGAAATGTGTTTGCGTCGTGCTGGAAATTTAATTGTACCTTCAAAAAGATAAATTGAAAAAAATAAAAATGTAATGGTTAAGACGAAGGTAAATGTGATTGTGTGTGATGTGTAGTGTGCGGAATTGTACTTACTGAACACATTCACTGACGCATCACGAGTGAAGAGGTAGTAATCGATGCTAAAAATAAGACAAACTACTTGAAGTGCTGAACAAAAAATTAAAGCTTGCGTTGCAAACCATACTCTAAGAAAGTTTGAATATATGATCGTTTGATAGTTGGCAAAAGATATCGGGAGAAAAGAAATTTTCAAATATCTAAAAAACTAAAAAAATAGAAGAAAACACTTGCAACTGCATCTATCGTCGTCCATGCCAGAACATTACGTTAGGTTAATTTCAAACATTGCTATAATGTTTCGATTTTTTCACAGTATTATCGCTACTACAACATGGTTAGCACAAATTTGGTGGTGCCGGTGGTGCTTTGGGGCCCTTCGGCACCAACCCACTGCGTGTCCAGCGTATTTCTATCCGATGATCAATCAACACTCGTCACTGGTTGCTACGATGGTCAGATCTGTTTGTGGCAAGTTGACCCGTTGACTATGAAAATGTCACCACGCTGTCTGCTGGTTGGACACTCGGCACCAGTTTTGTGCCTGGTACGTGCCTCCATACTGCCTGAAAACAATTTTCTCGTCAGCTCTTCGGAAAATGGAGAAATGTGCACATGGGATCTAATCGATGGCAAATGTATGGAATCGGTGAAGTTGGCACAGGTGCACACACAAATTCAAAGCTATCATCCAGCCAACAGCGAAGACGTGCGCCTCTTTTGCATTGGCTATTACCCAGAGATAATCGTAATGGACCCATTTAGTTTGGAAATCATTTATCAGCTTAGTTCGAAAGTAAAGCCGGACTGGATTTCGGCACTACACGTTTTGCGCCCCATGAAACGCAAAGACGATGTCGTTCTGGCAATCACCACTACCGGGACCGTGAAAGTTTGGACGCTAATTGGTAACGAGAATAAGCACGCTGAACCAATCTATGAAAATGAATCGAAGGAAATTCGTTGCTTGAATGCCATAACCATGAATTGTTGTGCACAAAATCAACGCACAGTGCTAATCGTTTGCACCAAGTACTGGCAAATCTATGATGCGGGAGATTTTACAGTACTCTGTTCGGTGATCGCACCGACACGCGAACGTTGGCAAGGTGGTGATTTCATCACTTCCGATCGCGTCATGCTATGGACTGACGAGGGCAAAGGCTATATTTACAAGCTGCCTGCCAATTGTATACCAGACAACAAAGATTTTCATGCCAAATCAGTGGTACGTGATGCACCCTATTTGTATTATGTATTGCAGCAACCGGGCGATAAAGTGCTGTCGTGTCCACCCGCAATGAAGTTGCTGCGATATCAACGAGAGGACGGCAAAATGCAACACTATTTGTTACGTGGAGATTCCGAGGGCTATATCTCCGTATGGACAGTTCCGGAGGTGCCTCTGGATAATATCTGCATATTGCAAGCGAAACAAATGCCACCAAGAGTGCTTAAACCTACTGTCTGTACTTCGTTAGTCGAGGCATGGTCTATCATGGATCCACCGCCCGTTGGTATACTCGATCAACTATCGCGTATCACCGAAACGCCAGTCAAACTAACCTCAAGCATTTACCTACCGCAGCAAAGTCGGTTGGTAATTGGACGTGAAGATGGCACCATTGTTATCGTGCCTGCCACCCAAACTGTTATGATGCAGCTGTTAATAGGCATCAAGCAAAACTTTAGCGATTGGCCGTCGCATCAGATCCTTTGTGGGCATCGCGGGCGTGTCAACTGCCTATTGTGCCCTTCACTGGTGCATCCACGCTACGAGAAGTCACAATTACTATCAGGTGGAGTCGATTTCGCCGTTTGTTTGTGGGACTTGTATAGTGGCAGTTTGTTGCATCGCTTCTGCGTGCATGCTGGCGAGATCACACAGCTGCTGGTGCCTCCAGAGACTTGTAGTAACCGCATACTGAAATGCATCTGCTCAGTTGCATCAGATCACTCAGTGACGCTATTAAGCTTACAGGAACGCAAATGTGTTACACTTGCCAGTCGTCATCTGTTTCCAGTAATATCCATAAAATGGCGTCCACAGGACGATTTTCTCATCGTTGGTTGCTCAGACGGTTCTGTGTATGTGTGGCAAATGGAAACGGGACACTTGGATCGCGTGCTACATGGTATGCTGGCTGAAGAGGTGTTATTGGCGTGCGACGAACAGTCTGCCGAAGATGGTAGTGGCGGACAGAGTGGTGCAGCCGCGGCCACTTCAGAGATGGGAATGGCCAATCCGGCGGTACACTTTTTCCGCGGCATAAAGTCCCGCAACATGAACGCCATACGACATGCAACTCAACGCGGCATACATCAGTTGCAGCAACTACAGGGCCACAACCAAGGTAACTTCGATTTCCTAATGAAGCACCGCAGCAATCCGCTTGTGATTCAAGGGTTACGCACCAATCCTAAAGATGCGGAAAGTCATATACTATTTTTCGACATAGAAGGACTAATATTTGAATTGCATAGCGAGGAGTATGCACAAATGACGCCCGCTGCCCTAGAGGCGCTGGGTGTGGTTCTAAGCAATCCGAAAGATAAGGCGGTGCATCTAGATGCATCCAAAAAAATTAGCGATTTCTTTGGGAAGGTGAAAAACAAAGCTGGCGATATGGAAAAAATATTGAAAGATAAGGATAAACACGGCCTAGTGCAGAAGTTCAAAGAAAAGACGGAGGCAATGGAAAAGAAGGTGCAAGCGAAAGTCGAAAGTTTTCAAAAAGTCGTGGAGACGCAAGATCAGCCTGATGACTTGCGTAGCAAAATAGCTTCGAAAATGGAGGTGACACATGTGATGGAAGTGGCGCAATTGTTGCTATCACTTTTACACTCGTGGGGACTCGATCCACATTTGGATAAAGTATGTGAATCACAGTTGGGTCTGCTGCGTCCTATTGTGCCAGTTTCATTTGGCGTGCTCTCCAAGGCTGGTTACATGTCATTGCTATTGCCCACGTGGCAGAACAATTACCAAATACCCGACAATATACCACCCACGGCAAGTAGCTCGAAGAAACGCGATATTCCGGCTGAATTACTCCGCCAAGAGCAGTTAACTGCTGTCTTTACATCACGTTTACATTGGGAGTTGAGCACGACGTTGACATCAAACCACATATTAGCACTAGTGGCCATGTCCAATACTTTGATGTCGATGAACGCCGCATCGTTTCTTCCCGACAGCGAAAAGAGCAAGAAATTGCAGCGATTGGCCCAACGGACCGAATCTACGCTGAGTAACGAAGAGGAGCGTGAAGAGCTCATAGCACATCACACATCGCAAATCAAACAAGGCTGGAGTTTATTGTCCACGCACCATTGCTTCCTATTGCCCGACAAGATCGAGGCATTAGAGCCACGAAAATTCAAACGGCCACAAGTTGAGGCGATGGCCAAGCGTTGGCAGCATCATTGCATTGAGATACGCGAGGCGGCCCAACAGATTCTACTTGGCGAATTGACGCGCATGGGTAAGAAGGGGCGCAAGCAGCTAGTGGATAGTTGGGCACAGTACTTACCGCTCTACACGCACACCGAACCCATCGTACAGCCACAGGTACTGGCGGCGGTACAGGGTAATAGTGGCAATGGTACGAATGGGCATACCGGCACAGTGGACAATCAGGACGAGGACTACGAGGAGGAGGAAGAGGAAATCATACGCAAGCCGTCCAGTTTGTCTGAACTGAAACGCAAGCAGACAACGGCTGTCATACTTTTAGGCGTAATCGGCGCCGAATTTGGACAGGACATTTCACAAGATTCACCACAACGTGCAACTGCGGAAAGACGAAAATCCTCGGTGGCTGAAGGTTTTGGCATAGCCAATAACTTGGCCCGATTAACGTCTATGGCTTTAGCCCATTTGCTTTACGCACCACCTTCACAAAAACTACCAAAGTACACGCCACTTCGACGTGCTGCAATTGATTTGCTTGGACGTGGCTTCACAGTATGGGAACCATATTTAGATGTAAGCAAAGTGCTGCTCGGTTTGTTGGAAATCGCTTGTGCCGGCAAATCGGTACCTAATCTAAACTACAAACTACCATTGACACCACAGGCGGATGCGTGTCGTACCGCGCGACATGCCCTTCGTCTGATTGCGACCGCAAGGCCTGCCGCCTTCATAACGACCATGGCGCGCGAGGTGGCACGCTACAACACTATGCAACAGAATGCGCAGTCCATTAACCAACCACTCACCCAGTCAGTGCTTTACAAAGCCAAGGCGGAAATACTATTGTGCGTTGAAATGCTCATTGATAAAATGCAAGCAGAAATCGCCAGTCTGCTTGTAGAGGTGATGGACATTACCCTGCACTGTGTGGACAATAATGATTTGAAGGCGCGCGGCTTAGCCGAGGTATGTCCCTCGATATGCAAATTCAATCAAATATCACATTGTGGGCAAACGCGACGTATTGCCGTTGGCGCACACAACGGTCATCTGGCAATCTATGAACTGCGTCAAAACAAGTGCCAGATGATACCAGCACACACACACCCCATAACTTCGCTAGCTTTTTCGCCGGACGGCAAATTTCTTGTTTCTTATTCGTGTAGCGAAAATAGGCTATCCTTCTGGCAGACGAGTACCGGCATGTTCGGCTTAGGCAATTCGCAAACACGTTGCACCAAAGGCTACTCGACAGCACCCATACCCGATGTATCACGCTTAAACCCGATGCGCTTAGCCAAATTGGTGTGGATCAACAACCGCACGGTCACACTAATGTTGGCCGACGGCTCGGAAACGCGATTCAACGTGTAGGTTGTGCGACGTGGTTTGGGACGGAATAGAAAACATAAGGACGGCAGCGATGCAGTCAAAGCTGTACGAGCATCTAGGCAGTTAACATTTAGGGATTTTGATTTAAAGGCTTTTAATATGCGAACGAACGGCTGGGCGGACGGGCGAACAGTTTGTCGTGAGAAAATGGGTAGAGACCAGTATTTTCAAGCATCAGTTTTTGTTTTTGTTAATCTAACTGTACGGCAAAGTCTAACTTAATACGCTTAACGGTTCCTACATTTGCTGCAAGCAAAACTGAAAGCGCTTATAAAGTGTATTTAGTTGTAATGATTTCCAAAAGAAAAACAGTGTATTGTTTACAAGTGATTTTAATTATTTTTGTTACTGTTTACTTTATTATAATACAATAAGGCACTTGCGAAGTGCTTTTGTAAGATTTTAATTATTTTTTGATTCTGAAATCAATTTTCATATCAAATTTGACGTTTTGTTTTTATGTTGCGAATTTCGTGATTGTTTCTCTGTATTCAACTCCTATCCGAGGCCCACTGTTCGCCCATGCGTGGAGGGTATATAACGTTTGTGTTGCATACATTTTTAGGTGTATTAATGCTAATATTCTAACGGTGGTACGCACATTTACAATGTATGTCCACATATACATACATACCTACACCCGTGTTGGTCGCTATACTAAACAGCTGATCAATATAAACTATAATATACACGAAACTACAGAAGTGCAAATGCGAAATGTATTTAAAACACAATTAATAAAATTTATGAAAATTATAAAAAAAACTAATCTGCATACATACATAAACGAAATAAAAGTACGATATTAGTAAAAGGAAAAAAGAATGAACTACAATAAATATGTAAATGCTGTTATTAATATTTGTTAAATTGTTATTATATTATATTTACAAACGTACATACATAGTAATGAAGTTTATTTTGCTCTTTTGTAAAATTAATTTCTATGAATTTACTGTGTTAATTTTGCAAAACTAAGGGAATATATATAAATATATACATATACCTGCAAACATGCATACATACATATATGCGAGGAATTTTATGTGGTGGCATATAACGAAAACACGGTATAAACTAAAACAATAAACTGTAAAACTACTACTCTTGCAATTAAAAAATTATAATGCATACGTTTGCATATATACTTATATTTATATATACTATACATATATAAATTCAAATTAAATGTTTTAATGGATTGTATCCCCTAGCTCCGCGTGTTTTTTTGGAGTTATGTAGGCATCGTTTGAACCAGCCGATTGTATATATCCAATCGATTGCCTCCTCCATATTCATAATTGAAAATTGCATTACTTACTACTATTGAAAAAATTTATGAAAGAAAACTATGTATTAAAGAAATTAAATTAAATTTAATGAAATTGTATTGTGCTTACTTTTAAATGTCCCTGAATAAAAGTATTAATTAATTATACCGAAAAAACGAACATCCTGTATTTACTTGGTGACAGCTTGCTATGAAGAACGAGTTAAATCTGCAGAAATAAACAAAGGGGAAAACTTGTAAACAAATCATTGGAGATTTTTAATTTTAAATCAAGTCAATAATTTTACTGTTGTGAGGAAGTCATCTTTAGATGCAGTAAACACAGTTCCACTGATGACTGACCTTCTTAACACACCTTCCGAATTTTATTTCACATTACGATAAGATCTTCACGAAAATCGGGTTCGGGTAAACGTAATGGACCCGGAATTTTCTGGGATTATCTGGCAAATTATTAACTCAGGAATGACAATAATTAATTTTAAGAGGAATATTTAAATTAAATCCAGGGCTGTGAATTTTTAATATTGTTGAGTAGTGGTGCTGAGTTGAAGGTGACGTGGACATGGCTAAAGCCTCTAAATCTGTTTGCTAAAGGTACAATAAAAATTAGCGACAGGGTCTTAAAACATCTATTATACAACTTTCCAAATGCGAAACACTGAGCACTCCTCTTTTAATTAGAAAAACTATTAATCGTGTTCAATAACATTTCTTTTTTAGAATAACATCGAGCTCAATATGTCAGACGATTCGGAAGCGATGTCAAAGAAGTCCCGTAAGGCTTCAAGTCCCACAATCTCAGAAGACGAATACATCGAGCCGCCTGAGTTCAGTTTGGCCACACTCGGATTGCGTCGCGTTGGCACAGCACCTCCACCGAAGCCGCAGCCACAACAGCCTATACAAATGTTAAATGCCCGTGGTATGCCGGCACGCATACGTAAACGTAATCGGTTATTTTTCGATGACGACATTATTAACGATGACAAACCGCTTCGCATGAGTCTCTCACCACGAAAAATGCCAATGAAAGCAAACGCATCGCCCCACAAAACACCCACTAAGGTTTTAAAAAAACGCAAAGGTGTCGTCTCGCGCTACATGCGCTCGGATGAGAAGAAAAAGAGTGCTGAAATGACCACACCGACACGTGAGCGACATTCAAGTGCCGCCGGTCCATCGGCAAATACCACACCAAAATCAAGCACGCGACATAGTGGCATTTCGATTGCACCAGCGACGGGCAGCACCACATTGACACACATTATTCCGGCTGATAAAAAGATTGGTCAGAGCATCGGTTTGCGTTTGCGCAATTTGTTGAAACTGCCCAAAGCTCATCGTTGGGTCATATTTGAATGGTTCTACTCTTTCCTTGACAAAGCACTGTTCGAGGGTGAAAATGACTTTCAAGTTTGTCTGGCTGAATCATTTCCAAATCTTTGCACTCGCCATCTGACACGCGCCGAATGGCGTAAAATACGCTCTTTAATGGGTAAACCTCGACGATGTTCGCAAGCATTTTTCGACGAGGAGCGACGTGAGCTGGAGCGCCGCCGACAGAAGATACGTTATATGCAGAGTCGCAAATCGGGCGACGTTAAGGATTTGAATTTTATACGAGATTTGCCAGACAAGATCCCATTACCACTGCCCATTGGCACCAAAGTAACAGCACGGTTGCGCGTGCCGCAGGACGGTATTTTTAGCGGTACCGTGGACGCCTACGATTCCATGACATCCACTTACCGCATCACATTCGACCGGAATGGCCTCGGTACGCACTCAATTCCAGATTTTGAAATCGTTTCGGAAAATTTCCACGAAATGCTTCCACTCCAAAGCATCACCAGGGACAACAGACCTAATCTGATGAGCGTCTTCAACGGCGTGAGCTCATCGCCCATGCGTAGCATGCGCAATGTACGCTCGGCTTTGAATATGAATTTGAATAAGAGTGATCCAGTCTTAGCACAGGAGGTCATCGAGAGTCCATTCAAGGATCCGGTGCTCGGTAGAGACAACATCAACGGCTACCCGGCCAAACTGTTGGAGACTTTAGTGCGTTTAAAACGAGCTCTGGCCTCCAAGCGCTCTAAGTTGCAGCGCCTAAGCGAAATGAATAACGAGGCAGAATTAAAGGCATCCCAACAACTGGCTGCCGCACACAATAATTCCAACTCATCATCAGACGAATCGCAAAACACAAATGAGACGGTGCCACAACTGAGCGAAGAATTTCAAAGACGTTATGCCTCGATTGTAATTTCAATGGAGAAGATGAATCGCGACATGCAGGATTATCTAAATGATGTGCAGGCATTCGCTGGTGACCTAACGCGCGATCCACAAGTACAAGCAATGCTGGCACCATCGTACTTGCGTGAAAAATGCCGCGAAGCCGCAGAAGATGCTGTACAACGTAACAATCAGGGCACAGTGCAGAACAAGGGTGTGCTGGCACTCATAAAGAATCTAGCAACAGTGTTACTAGTCGCCTCACATTTGGGCAATGATGGCAATTCGGCGGAAGTTTCGAAGGTGCTCGAGGGCTGCATCGAAGAAGTGCGTTCCAGCTTGAGTGGTGTGAATGTTGAAACATTCCAGAAAAATGTGCAAATACATTTGCATCATGTGCGCATGCTCGCCGCCAACAACAGTGTAATGATGAGCAATTCAGCCGTATCGACTGTCGGTGGTGGTCCCATTGACAGATAAATGCTTTGGAGCTCTAGTAATCGTTAATGACTTAACGACTCAATAAAAAAATATTAATGAATTAATTTAATTTAACAGTAATATTCTAACAATTACTATTAGACAATCTTTACTTTTTTCTTTTAAAAATCAATTTTTGTTCTTTGTTTTGCCGGTCTTTTCTTTCTTGTCTATTGAATTCTATGTATTTATACTAAAAATAAACTTAATTAGATTTCGTAGCAGTTCAGATGTGTTTTAATCACTTTCGTCGTCATCGTCATCCTCCTCTTCACTGGATTGGTTGAGCCATTCGATGAGTTCCTTCAGGCTCTGACGCAAAGTTCGGTGTTCGTCCGCATCGAGTTGTGCGTACCAAGAGATAATAGCATCTTCACTCACGAAATCCTTGTCATACAAGTAATGTACTACTTTCGAGATTTTGGCGCGCACATATTCATTTTCTTCACAGATGTCCTGTTTGGTAACATGAAATTTGTATTAGAGTGTATATACTTTTTAACATTTACTTAAGAGACTTACTTCCAATGCACGCAGACATTCCAACATGGCATCTTCAGTCTTTATATAATTCGACATAACAGGACCCAATTGTTTTAATATGTTGTTTATGGCTACAAGAACGTTTTGATTTGCGGGCTCCTTGATATCCTCAAGACTGAATATAGCTTTCACCACATAGAAATTCACCTCTTTTAGGGACATATTGTACGCATAACGAGAGGAGTTTATTTCTAAAATAAGAAAGTCTGGGTTTGATTTCTCCTGGAATCCGCGTGCCAGTGAGTCCATCACTTCCGCCAAAAAGACTGCAGCAAAGCAAAGTGGATAGCAATGGCAAGAGCAAGAGGAGGTATTAGTTTGAGAAGAAATTTAAGAAAACGGAAACGTTTACTATTTGTGTCGTCGACAAATGGTGTGACCGCACGTGACTCATCCTCGTCGCTGCTCGATGTGTAGTCACTCTCATCACAGATTGGTGGTAGTTTAGCCACTTTTGGTATACCAGTTGCTATGGTGGGTGGTACATCATCTTCGGAATCGGAAGCATATGTCGATTGTGTATCCTGTTTATCGTCTATAATAAACCCTTGTTCACCCAGTTTTTCTACTAAATTGTCTGTCAAAAAAAAAAAAAAAAAAAAAAAAAAAAAAAAAAAAACTAAAAAAAAAAAAAAAAAAAAAAAAAAAAAAAAAAAAAAAAAAAAAATCGTTAAAAACTAATTAATAAAAAAAAATGTGTACTTACCGTCCTCGCCTAACGCACACTTTATTATAACGTTTTTGAGCACCTTTCCAGAGGGTATGACACTTTTTGCATCCACAACGGTACCTTCTGTGAGAGCAGATCCAGCACCGACTTTAGCACCGCACCCAATTACACAGCAATCTAATTTGCAGTCATCGGCAATTTGAACACCATCCATTAGAAAAGCATTAACCAGCACGCAATTCTTCCCAATTTTGCAGTTCTTCCCAATAACGCTGCAACTCACGGAAGTACCGGCTTCCACGTGACTACCGGCCTGCACGGCGACATTTTCTCTTAACGCTGCTTTTATGACCGTCGACTTTCGACTCTTATAAATGTTGTTTTTCATGTAAACGTATTGCTGAACAAGACAATTTATACCCATATCTGGGACCAATGGGTACGCCCAACGATTCATCACGTCTTGGCTGACCATGCAGTATGTCAGCCAATTATTCACTTTGCGGGCATACTGTCCCCGCGGTAGCAATGATACATAGATGCGGCTATCAAGAATCTCTTCGTTAATAAGTATACCACGAACGAAATCGTCACGTGATTCAAAGTCGAAATTATCACTGAACAAGGATAGCATTGATGGGGAGCCAATAGCAATTTGTGG